AAAGAATTTCATATTTCAACAAAATTCCATGTCATGTAGAATCATATGCCTATGCCATTGATTAAGTTTAACTTTTCATTGGAAAGCATGTTTTTTCATGGAAACTGGAGTAGTAGGGTAACCTAGTGGTTAAACTGTTGACACTCGCCACACTGAAGGCCCGAGGTTTGATTCCCCACATGTGTGCAAAGTGTGAAGCCCATTGCTGCTCTCCCCAGCATTATGTTGCTGGAATATTGCTAAAAGCAGTGTAAAACCCAATTCTCTCACTTGGAAACCTTTGCTATCTACACTGAAAATCTAATCTCCTACATCCATCGTTGTATATTTACTGTCAAATCAATATCATGGCTAAAAGCAGAAATCTTCCAAACCATTCAATTTGTGCTTGCTTTATCCACACTTAAAAAACAATAAACAAGTTTTAGAACTATTCTGCAAGTTTATTCCAAAGACATAATTACTCATAACATATCAAACATTCTTTGCATTTTCCAGATGCTAAACCTGAAAAAATACTGTACCAGTATCATCTGGAATACAAATGTTCTTTCATGGTCACTCATCTAAATTCTCACTGAATTATCTGAGAGTCCCAAGATGTCACAAGACTTTCCAAAACACCTTGCTGGTTACAAGCATTTCCTGTTCCAGCAAGTTTCCAAAGGATGATGTGTAGGGCTTTAATATGTTTTATAACTGTACATACAACATTTCAATGACTTGTTGTTTCTTCATTGCAATGTATATTGCTTGACCACCAGATGTTAAAAGAAATCTGAAGATCTGTTTCAGTTTGTGTTGCTCTTGATGTCAATGGTACTTGTGGTGATAATGAAATCTATTCCTCCTTCTTTCTCCTCTTAAAGATGTGCATCTGTTCAAACTGAAAAAAATACATAACACACGTTAGACCAAGTATGATATACTTAATAAAATGTAAACACTAAAACAGTTCCTTACAATGTTGACATCAAGATATTATTGATAAATTAAGCATGTGGATGTTATGTTTAACTGAACATGCTGCACCATAACCAAATGCTAAATGGGGTTGTAATAATATATTAATCAAGCTGATATTACAGAATACATTTGTGAGAGACACCTATTCAGAGCTATTGGTATCAATCAAAGTGTGGGTATAATCATCATTGTTTACGCACTATTAAATTATTATTTAATTCATTACATTTATTTTTTTAGAATTACACCTGGATTTTCATTGCACATAAAGTTATCTTCTAGATAATTCCAACTGCAAGATACTTTATTTATTAACACAGTTTTTTGGGTACACATGCATTATACCGGATACCTGCCTGTCATATTTTATTAGGTCCCCCTCTCCGGGGGACAATAAAATCCCACTGTAAGATATCAAATGCAATCAAACGATTAACTAATCTGCACACATGTCAACTCCACCCTTATTGTGCGTGCCATGCTTAAACAATACCAGCCTTTAAATAAAAAACAAAGAAATCCATGTAACAAACTTACCTCGACTAATGAATGGGCCAGCCTGAAGACGACGCTGTAACAACTCTGCATCTGTTTTGTTTGGCAAATATTCACGTGCTGTTCATGCAACATTGCCTTAGTGCTTTAGCAGTCCATAGTCTGTTACATGGCATAGGTTTATGATTCACACAGCCAGTGTCGAGTATGATTATCCACGGCATACCCCATGTAACAGTGTTATCGCCATTGCCGAAAAACGTTGTTTGTCACCGGAAGTACTAAACAACGTAATCTCTCGCGAAGTGCCGTGACCTACTTACGGGCCCTATTCGGCCCCTTGGTCCTGGCGCAGCAATTGTCATCGGCCCGTGTTCGCAGATAAAGCAATCCTTCCTTGGTCAGTTTTGCTCTGTACCTAATATAAGATATCAATGTTATTCATATCTTGGTACTTTTTTCTCTTGGGCTTAGACCATTCTCACCTATGGGAATAGGGCGTGTCTGCACTGTCGTAAGTTATGACTTGATAGACTGTGAGGCCAGTCTTGTGCTACATGCAGAGATGATCGACACTCCGCTTACTGACCTCTACTCTCTGAGCAATTACATCAGTGAAGTGTTGATTTCTGACATGGTTTTCGAAGCGTTCTGCTCCTGAGTCCTTTCTCACCTTTGGTAAGTTAGGGGAGATTGGTACTGAACGTTAAACTAGTTGAGCAACCGAACTATTCCCTCTTTCACTGCCTTCCAGCGTGTGTCTGTGGGGGGTAGTTTCGAAGCAGGGACTAGCCAGATTAAGGTCCTCGACTTTAATTCACTGGGGTCACCTGATAATTCACGGGGCGGCGGGGCCACTTGCCAAAATGCGTCCTTTTGCTTGTCAAAAGTTGCGGCCGAAAACCACATTAATTCGGGAGCGCCCACTCCCTAGAGATTTTGTGCTGTGTAAGCCAAGGGGTTACGTGAAGAAACCCATCTCAAGTTTGCATATCGGAAGTTGGTGCTTTCTCCTGGCCTCCTTGGGTTATGCGTTTTTTCCTGGTGGTAGTAACGGGGTAATCTGCAACCCGCCTACCAGCCATGGGATTATGCATACCGTGAGATAGGTAAACTTATCCTATCTCCTGCGATATGACCCACCCGACCTGCCCCACATCACAGATTACTGGAAGCTCCAAGACGAGAATGACAGGCACAGTTAGTCACATGATCAATTGAGCGAGCTCCACGCTTACGGAGATGATTGACAGGTGCTGATGTCGGAGTGGGGGCAGAGGTCAGGGCGGGTCAGAGGCCAGTAAGATTTGATTCAACTTAGCCTACAGCACGTTTCCACACATGGTCGTAGAAGAAGAGGAGAGGTGCATACTGTGAGATAGGATAAGTATATAAATATACAATTTATAATAAAATTTTCAATTTTATAAGTTTTATAAGTTCAGATGTGGTTCAGAGAAATATATGTAGTGCTATTGATGATAATATTGTTATGGCTTGTTGAATAAATACATTATTAATACTGACTTTTTTCAGCATGTTAAATCTTTAAACCATAATCACCTTGTGCACAACATGCACATGACTGCATGCCTAAGTCTGTTCTTCAAGAAGTTAAGGTCCTGCGTTGGCTATCCAGCCATTGTGTGTGTATCAGGGGGGCGGTGGGGTAGCCTAATGGTTAAAGCGTTGGCTCGTCACGCCGAGGACCCGGGTTCGATTCCCCACATGGGCACAATGTGTGAAGCCCATTTCTGGTGTCCCCCGCCATGATATTGCTGGAATATTGCTAAAAGCGGCGTAAAACTCAACTCAGTCAGTCAGTCAGTGTGTATCAGGATATGTCATTCTGTACTGGATGATTTGGATGAGTGTCATCATAACTTGATCCTTCGCAAACCTCAGTGATATACCTCAAAGATACATTAATACCAACATCTACTCAAGATTTATTTCAGTGATTATTAATTTGTTCATTTAGGGACCGTTCATAATTTATGGCTAGGGGGTGGTGGTGATGATTTTAAGGGGGGTCACCCATTTTGTTCTGGAGCTGGGTGGTGGGGTGTGTCATCAATTTTGTACACATGCACAAGGGGGGTCAGCAATTTTGTACATAAAAATATTTTAAAATTATGCTTAGAAATTATGAGAAGGGGAGGGAGAGGGGCACTGATTTTGTACATGACATGTGGTGGGGGGTGGGGGGGCACTTATTTTGTACATAAATGTTAGGGCGTCATTCACATTATACATGCTTCTCCATAAAAAATCATCATCACCCCTCTAGCCATAAATTATGAACGGCCCCTTAGTTACAATGGTCAATATATTTGAGATTGGTTTACAGACAAAATGGATGAGTGGTCTTTTGGAAAAGACAGTTAAGGCAAGTTAAGTTCTATAATCAGACATGTGGATTGATGGCTGTGTTGTACTTTGTGGGCGTTTAAAATATTACAAAAACAACAATCTGAAAGTAATCTAAAAGCAGAATGTGAATTAAGTCATAAATCCATGTGCTAAAAAGCATGATAGAGTGAAACAATTCATGTACTGATCTTGAAAGTATTTTCCAACACAATTCCACTTTGCTGTAATTGTCATGTTGCAAAGATAGTTTCCATTGATAGGTGAGAGTTGTGTAATATTTCACTCCTTTTGTGCTGGAATATTCTGAAATAGAATAGATCCCACTGTAACTTTTTGTCAAGGTATAACATGTTCAGTATTATACTTTGATTATGGTATGAGTTGTACATGTATAGCAGCAATGCTTTTAGCAATATCAAGGCAGAGAACATCAGAAATTGTCTTCACAATTTTACCTACGTGGGAAATCATGCCTAAGTCTTCAGTGTGTAATCTTCAATTACATAACATCTACATCATTTTATATAAATGTTTACGTTTTTGTGTGTACTCTCCGTATGTTTGGCTCTGCGTGTTTAATATGACACATTTTGACATTCATATGTTACACACAAAACCACTGTTATCCCCTTCAATGTGTTTTGCGCATGGGGTATTATTTTGGACTCCATCTGTGCAAATTTGTATTTTCGGAGCAGAACAATAAATGTTAAATATTTCTTCACGGAACTAGGGACATAGATAGGTCTGGTGATGAACTGGTGCCTTTTTGTAGTTTTGGATTTCTGAATAAAATATTTTTTGTGTTTCAATGGCAACAGGTTTGACTTCGACTGAAATTGGTGGTAGTGCTCTTTTTCGGAGCAGAACTCTAAAACTGTTCCATGTTTCTTCACCAAACTTGATGACTTTGTCTTCTTGTTGAAATGTTATCAAATACTGACAGAGTGTCGGATGTAAACACTGGCAGACACTGACAGACTAGTGGTACATTCCTGAGAAACCCCCCATCTAATTTTCTGGTATAAACACAAACATAAGTTTTGTTAGTTTCACTGCACAACCAATCTGTTGACTCTACATGTGACCAAAATGATATGGACAGTCCACAGTAGTCTATATATTTGTCTATTAGTCTATTTGACACATTTCTTTTCTCTTATCAGGTGCAAGGCCAGAAGATGGAGTTCCCAACATGACTGTCATCAGTGATATTGATGAAAATGGAATCAATATAAATTTGAAAACAAGATATCAAAAAGACAAGATTTATGTATCCTTTTTAACCACAATGGATCATACTAACATGCAGTGGCAGCCAAATTGAAAATATAATTTTTGCCCCATACTCAGCAATTTCTGCAGATATCATAATGGTATTTGATAGTATAAGTAATGGATGATATGTTTTGATTTTTGATCCAGTTGGGGTTTTCACATTCATGGATCCAGAGGTTTAATTCACCGGATTGAAAGTCAACTAATTTTGGCGTGTTTGTCTGTCATTGTCTGTTGTAAACATTTTCTCAATAGGAAGCACTGGTTGAATGGACCCGAAGTTTCGCATGCTTGTTCCAGCTATCCCTGGATGGTGTGCTATGTTGCTGGAACAAACAAGCAAACAAACGTAGTCTCAGCATCATTTAGTTTTATTATTTTGACCCTCATTTTACCGTTACTCTTCTGACTCTGAAAGTTGAAACTTCACACGAACAAAAGGTCAAGTGAGCTTTTGCAGTAGTCTGTTTGTTGGCCGTCCTTCCTGCATTTGCAATCATCACAAGAACAAAAATGATTTATAAAAATTTACAGTTTGTAAAGTTCATATTTACACATTTTGTAAAGATGGTGTTTACTAAGCTTGTAATTATTTGTAAATGTAATAAGGATTTTACCACTACTTCTTTCAGTTTTTCCATTTCCCAAGGATCCCTTGTTCGAATGTCTCTCCGATGTCAATGTCAGGTGGAGTGTATAGACTTGACTAATTTATTCCCTGCCGTGCGTTAAGCACGAAGTGGGGGATATAGTATTAGGCTCCTTCCGTCCGCATGTATGAATTAGAATATCTTAAGAACCGTTGACTAGATTCTTTTTATATTTTGTACCTAGGTTCATCACAGTATAAGAAAGATCTCAGTCAGGTTTGGTGACCTTGACCTTAATTTCATGGTAACAATTGGACTTTAACGTTTTACTCTTGTCAGCGAGATATCTCAAGAACCGTTCACTAGATTTTCTTCATATTCAACACCAAGCTTTATCTAGGGAAGGTGCAGGGCCCAGTCAAATGGTGACCTTCACATAATTTTCAAGGTCATAAAGACACTTTCAAATTTCAGCATGTTAAATTGTATATTAAGATAGTCAGCAAGATATCGCAAAAATACGTTCACTGGATTTTTTAAATATTTGACACCAAGCTTCATCTAATGAAGGCGCAGGACCCAGTCAATTTTGGTGACCTTCACATAATTTTCAAGGTCACTGCAACACTTTGAAGATTTCAGCATGTTAACCTGAATTCACAGGATTTTCTTCATAGGCTTTCAAGACTTCCGCCCTGTGAAGATCCGGGGAAGAATAAGTCTTCAGCAACCCATGCTTGCCACAAAAGGCGACTATGCTTGTCGTAAGAGGCGACTAACGGGATTGGGTGGTCAGGCTCACTGACTTGGTTGTCACGTCATCGGTTCCCAATTGCGAATATCGATGCTCATGCTGTTGATCACTAGATTGCCTGGTCCAGACTCAATTATTTACAGACCGACGCCATATATCTGGAATATTGCTGGGTGCGGCGTAAAACTAAACTCACTCACTCACTTCAAGACTTCCCTTGAATGTTTTTCAATAAGCAATTTCTTCATGTCAAGGTCACTTTGAAGATTTCAGCATGTTAACCTAAATTCACTAGATTTTCTTCATAGACTTTCAAGACTTCCATTGAAGGTTTTTCAATAAGAAATTTCTTTAGTACCATTTTTGCATATTTCATATACTATGACATTTATGTCAAGGTCAAAGTCAGTCTTTAAAATATTTGTGTGTTTGAACAACCAAAGAGCAAGATATCAAGAGAGGTTGATTGGTCATGTTTTTGTTGACATTTAACTTCATTTTAAACTTTCATTACTTTTTAAGTTTGATGTGATAATTTGCGTCGGGGGATTATGTCACCTTAGTGACAATGCTTGTTATAACGTAAACATTCCCTCTGGATTATGGTAGCCTATATTCCTGTGGTTACATAGATACATATAGAAAATGAAATGAAAATTTAAACAGTAAGTCATAGCTATTCCTAGTGGTATGCGTCATCTGTCTACTGAATTATCTCCCCTGATCCTGACGTCACGGCATTGTTGTTTGAAATCCCTTCATATTGTACTGTATGATCTACACTACAGACGTATGGAAGTGAAGCGAGAATCTTTTCATCTACGACTCTACTTTCTTCATCAAATCTACAGAAAATTGGTCAGTCGCATTAGTCATTACGGCAATCGCATTCCTTTTGCATATCATTTATTGCTGAAAAAATTTACTTGTATAGAACTATAATTTTCCCGCCATTTTCCCTATCAGAGCAACATTCATTATGGATGAATCCCGATCATTATCAAGGAAATATAAATATTCATCGTCTTTGGAATGCTCTAAGCCAAAGAAAGGAAATTCGGCTTCTCCCTCTCCCTCCATTAAATCAGAAACTAAATCTCGATCCAGGTCGAAATCAAAATCTTCAAGTCAGCTTGATTTATCAGCTATATTGGAATTACTATCTTCCTTTAAATCTGACATCCAGGCGTCAATGGATAAGTCCATGCGAGACATGGAAATGTGTAACGAAATCAAAATTAACAAGCTGCACAAACAATTTGAGGAACATTACTCCGCGAAGACAGCAGACAATAGCCGCAATGATTTGACCGATGGCACGAGCCCGGGAGTCAAAGTCATTTCCTACCGATCTCAGGGGTGCTCTGACCAGGAGAGCCGGTCATCATGCCCTGACGTATGTAGGAGGCCGGTCCGCTCAAGGAGAGAAGCTCAGGGCTTCAGGCGACGGGGATGGTGTCGACACCGGGATTGGCTTGTCTGTGGCTAAGGCTACGCATGCCATGACCATGGTCCCCAGGAGCAAGTGGTGCGTGACGGCTCCCAGTCACCCACAGCCTGCCACCTTTCCCCACAGAGGTCTGGCCCGCAGGATAAGCAGGGGATTGATACATTAACCGTGCACGGGAATCCCAGCCTGGCTCGTGCCATACGTCTGTGTCAGGGGCTATAGATACCGATTTACCGGCTCAACAACCCAAGACCCACATGCCTAGCGGTTCTGAAGACATGCCTTCAGACACCCTGGCTTTTATTGACACAGAAAACCACCGATCATTCCGGTAGTATCAGGATTCCAGGGGATTACATGATCAGCCACTTCCATGGTCGGCCATGGACTTCAGGGAATTTGACATGGCAGCTCGTACTTCAATTGACACTCTCTGGTATACAAATTGGTTTGCTGCAGGCGTTACGTGCTCTCTTACCTCACTTGTTCCAGGACTACTCAGGTATTAAGGAAGACAAATTAGTATCAATGTCAGCTCAGGAAGTAGCCTTTGCACATTCCTTCCTAGATGTGGTGTATCAATCCTTAGCAGATACTATGCAATATCAAGTTGGCATTTTGGGCTGCCTCACGGCCTTGGAGACAATTTAGAAACTTCATTCCATCAGGAATCTTCCAGAATCACCACCATTTAGGGGAATCGTTCAGCGGTCATGGATGTTCAAGGACTATCAGTGGGATCCGATCCGTCTCTTCATAAAATCATCAGATCGTTCCAAATTTAGGACATTGTGTCACCCACTATTTTTCCCAAATGGGACCTGACTTTGGTATAGTCATATGAACCGATGCAGGATACATCACTAAAATTCATATCATTTAAAACGTCTTTCCTCCTTGCTTTTGCTACAGCCTCTAGGGTTTCAGAATTACATGCTATAGACTTTAAGTCCATAGTTTCGCAGAAGGATATAAACACATGACATGTAGGACAGTTCCCGAGTTTATCGCAAAGAACCAGGCTTCTACTCAGGGACCTTTTGGGACACAGGACTTGCAGGATTCCAGCACTCTCTACCTCTGCCCTCATGAAATCAGGGCTCTTGCTACATCGTTAGATGCTTGGTCATCAGTTTCTCTACAGTCCGTTTGAGTCAGAAACAGACCGATGAATTGCTAATTTTTTCATTGTACAAAATTGCCACATAAATGTAAATAGTACACATGTTTATCATTTACAAATACCCAACAGCTTTCTTATATCTGAAAATTTTCCGGACTCCACCAAAAAGGTTGTTTAGAACCAGGCTTCTACTCAGGGACCTTTTGGGACACAGGACTTGCAGGATTCCAGCACTCTCTACCTCTGCCCTCATGAAATCAGGGCTCTTGCTACATCGTTAGATGCTTGGTCATCAGTTTCTCTACAGTCCGTTTGAGTCAGAAACAGACCGATGAATTGCTAATTTTTTCATTGTACAAAATTGCCACATAAATATAAATAGTACACATGTTTATCATTTACAAATACCCAACAGCTTTCTTATATCTGAAAATTTTCCGGACTCCACCAAAAAGGTTGTTTAAGAAACTATCATCATTGAAAAAGCAAAAGTTGTTATCTGTCGCGGTTGGGTGAAACCACAGAAACAGAACAACCACTATCTCGTCGTGCACGGGATACACATGCCTGATGAAAAATGAAGTTGAATGCTGACGTGAAACAGTTGATGATTAAAGTGTACAATTTTGTCCGTGCTGAAGCCGAAAGGGGCAAACCATTTTATGCCATAAATATATATTCCGTAAGCGGGCAGCAAAAGCTTTAGGAGTATCAGCAAGGGTACTGACAAATGTTCTGGAACACAAACATTGTGAGGGTGATGCGAAGCAGGTAGGGGTCGTGTCAAAATCACACAAATTAAAACATTTGGACAACTTTCAAAAGAACCTTGAAAGGCAGTCTATCAACAAGCTCTATTCTGAAAACAAATGCATGTCGCTGAAAATTTTTAAAAAGCATTTAAAGCAAGAACACAACCTCAGAGTATCAAAGTACACACTCTGGCGACTCTTACACTCTTTCGGGTATCGTTATAAGAAAATTTCAGGGGAGAATAGGTCAATACTCTGAAGCGCGAGGAAGGGTTCGAGCCAATGTACTTGGACGAGACCTGGGTCAATGCCTCGCACACTGCCAG